TACCTCTGGTGGCCTCTGAGACTCCCTTGTGTTGGAAGGCTGAGCTCCTGACAAAAGAGCTCTGTCCAGAGCCTTTCCTTTCTAGCAGCAGCCAACCTGGGGGGGCGGGGAGGGGTGTGTTGAGGTGGGAGGTGCTGGCCTTGATAGGGTGGTGTATGCTGGTTATAGCACTTTAGAGTATGAAACAGCCTAGCGGGGTCCAGTCAAAAAGATTTACTGAAAGGAGCCCCATCCCTTCCAAACATCTTTAATCACCCAGCTGAGAAGAATCAGTTCAATCTGAAACAACCTGTGTCTCCCATATCTTCAGTGATAAAAGCAAAAGAATCATCCAGTCACCTGAGTTAGTCATGTTCATAGAACAAAACCAGGCACATTTTTAAAAATAATATACTAGTTTATTTTTACATCATTTTGTGTCTTTTTCCATCTCAGTTGTAATCCCCGTGGGCTTTCCATCACCAGATCACACATGTGCCATCACCATAGTCCAGTGCACTTCCCCCTCCCCACTGTTTTTGATCCCATTCCCCACCCCACCCCCATAAAATGTCTCTGGTATATAGCTGTTCATGATTATTATTTTCTCCTCTAAAACTAGGCACATTTTGAACTGGTTTAAGAGGTGGGAAAATAGAGACTTTAGCAAAACTGTTTCTCTTGTGTTACTTTATTAGAGAATAGACTAACCAGTGTCACCCAAGAGATAGGCAAACTTTAAACTTCTGACAGTCTCAAGTATTGATAAAAGTGTGGGAAGGGAAGGACGCATATTCCTGGTTGGTAGTAAATGTCTATAATAACTTTGGAGAACAATTCTGCAGTATTTAATAAAACAGGGACATGAACCTGCCCAGTGACTCATGAGTTCTGGATATAGAAGTACAAAGAGATTTTTACTAGGAGAGTTGTTATAGTGTTGGTTAATAGGGAAAAGTTGGTTTTGGGGCCAGGGAGGGACTGGCCAACTAGTAAGGAAATGCTTAATTAAATGGTCTAGTTCAGTGGGCTAGTATAGTAGTTATATGAATCAACAAGAACTGTGTGAAAAACAAGTTTGATGATATTTGTACAATGTATTACTTAGGACATTTGAAGAAAACCCACCAAAATCTTATGGTTTAGTATATATATAATGGTTTAGTGTATGTGTGTATATGTATGTGTGTGTGTGTATACACGTATATACACGTATATATATGTGTATATATATACATATATATATATATACGTGTATGTACACTTAAATGATCCGGAAGGATATACAGTTCACAGCAGTAATAGGAGTCAAACGGAGGAAAATGAACTGTAAAATTCTGATTTTTAAAATGTCTAAAGAGAATCTACTAAATGTTAATGGTCAGCTCTGGGTGTCAGAAATACAGATATTAATGTTTCTTTAGTTCAAAATGAAGTGAGAAAGAAGCAAACCTGTGAAGGTCACTGTAGGAAGCCCAGTTGTACTAACTAGGTCACTGCTCTTGGAGAGCTGGCACTGCCCTTCCTCCTTCAGCACCCCCTTCTTTTCCCTCCAGCTGTGGGCAGCTCTCCCTGTAAATGATGAGCCACTGTCCCACTTAGCTGAGGCCCGGTTGTACCTCACTTGAAGGGCCCTGAGCCAGGGTCCCAGGTCTCTTGCTGTTCCCATGACCCAGCACTAACGTGTCCTCCTTCAGGCTGCATTGCACAGTATGGACCAAACATCTGTGGTCAGACTGGAAATCCTCTGAAGACTCAGAGCTTTTCCCTGACTTGGAATTTCCAGCCCTGGAGCTGAGTGGGTCCTTTGGGGGATAGGCCCATTTACCATCAACTTTTGTGCCCATTTACCATCAACTTTTGTGTTCCACAGGACCTTACAGAACTGCTTACAACGTTTTTTTTTTTGTTTTTTTTTTAAGATTTATTTATTTGTGCATACAGAACTGGGGTCCAGGACAGAGGTGCAGGGGCGGTGAGAGGCTTCACCAGAGACAGATGGGAGCAGAACAGGCAGATGGAGGAAGTACACTGCTGTGGGGAGCAGCGGGCGGGCCAGGAGAGGTCTGCCGCGCCATGTGGTCACCTCCAGGGCAGGCAGGAGTCGAACTCATGCTGAAGTGGCTTTGCCTCTTAGAGCTGTGCTTTAACCCGTTGCGCCACCAAAGAGGGCCCTGCTTACAAAGTTTTTAACTCAGTTAATACTGGCCCTGGATAAAAGAGCAAGGAAATTCTACTTGATCCTACAAGTGGACTCTTTTTGTTTAATATAACCTGCTAACACCAGGTTATATTTAATATAACCTGCTAACACCAGGTTTGATTTCTGTTAGGAGGCCTGCTAAGAGGCTTCATATGACTTCATATGGGCTTCAGAGTCATATCTCTTAGCTAAAAACTGCTCATCCTTCCAACCCCACTCCATGTGTGTTGTCTGCAAGCACCCACTCCAGACCTTACCAGGTTTGGTGTTGTACCCAGGAGCCATCTTGATTCTGGTGCTGCTATAGTCCTAATGAAGGTCAAACTTGGGGAGCAGATTTCCATGCTCCATCATTGAGGAAGACAGTGCCTAGAGAGCAGACCAACCTGAATGCCGTGTGGAGCATATGATGATTCAGATTTTCTAATAGATCTGGAGTTCTAAGCTTTTGAGATTGGAAACTCTTCATGCTTAAAGGCTTGGAGGTGTAATTGACAAAGACTAAAATTGTGGGTATCACAGGTGTCATCATTATTGGGTTAGTCTGTGTGGTGAGTCTGGGTTCGCAGCACAGTTGGTGCAGATATATCTGCATAGTTAATATAGATTCAGGCTCCTAGACCTAGGCCAGGCCAGTTTACTAGGGTAGAATGATTTGGGCCTTTTGAAAGATTGAACTGGTAAAATGTGAATCTTTGCCAGCATGGCCTGCTAATAGGACTGGCTCTCCGTGGTGTGTTGAGTGGTTTTGTTGTTGTGTTTCTTATATGATCCTCTGTTTTCAAAGAGTAGCCAAAGAACTGTGTCTGGCATAAATGAAGCTGAGGTTTTAGGGAACTAGGAGCTTCGTGAGATGAGAGGAATGCTGGGGTACAGACACCTGAGGCTGTGCCTGTTCCATCCTGCCAGCCTGCTCTAAGGCGTCTGATGGTGTCTTATTTCAGAGGAGAAATGACTCTGAGGAAGATCCTCCTGCAGGGGCTCAGGCTCAAGATTAAGGCTCCTGTTCCTGAGCCTGCCACGTGCCATCAGCAGCAGCTCCACTGGCTTTCCACTGCAGACTGGAGGTTGGCGCTGCACGTCTGTGCCTCCCAAGGAGGAGGGCGCAGTAGTGAGTCAGTCTGGCAAAGGCTGGAGCGCATGTCCTGACTGGCACTGCCCAGAGGGTAGCGTTGAGGCCGATCTTGAGAAACCGGACTGGGGCGGAGTCCAGAGGGTGGACTCTAAGTAAGTGGTTGGTGGAATGGGCAGCTTAGACTGAGGAGAAAAGACTAGTCTCCACAAGACTTTGGAGACAGGCTGGAGAGCTCTGGCCCTCCTTGCCAGAGAGGCTCCAGGCAGAGCTTGAGAGAGACCAGTGGGTGACGCTCAGATGAGACATGAGATCTCTTGGATGGTAGACCCAAGGATGTGCTTTAAGGATGTGTTGAGACCTTTTATAAGAGGATGGACTCATTTGCAGACAAGCAAGCTTTTATTGATTGCTGGTGTGTAAATCTATTCAAACACATAACAAAATCATTTGTTGGTTTGGTACATAATAAGCTGGGTGAAAAAAAGATCAGAGCTTGTAGATCTCAGATTTTTTTTAATTCAAGATGGTGTAACAGGGCTTTTGTTTTTTTGTTTTAAGATTTATTTTATTTATGCATACAGAACTGGGGTACAGGCTAGAGGTGCAGGGCTGGGGAGGTGAGAGGATTCACCAGAGACAGAGTGGGGAGCAGAAGAGATAGACTGAAATACACTGCTGAGGGGAGCAGCCGGTGGGTCAGGAGAGGTCTGCTGTGCCATGAGGGTCAGCTCCCTGGCTGGGGATGGAGCTTGTGCTGCAGTGGCTGCGATAGCTTCACAGTGCTGTGCTTTACCCCGTCGCACCGCCAGGGAGGGCCCAGAGTTTGTGTTTTGAGCCCAATATAATTTTATTTGCTAATGGGTGCTATATGCAGTCCTTGTGTACCAATATGTCCTTGTCACAAAGGTTTTTGTGTTAAGACTGAGGATGGATGAAGTTTCCTGGTTGTTGGCACATAACTAACAGTTCTGGAGCATAGAATTGTCCTGTGAACAAGAAGAATTTTTTTCTATTGCTTTGAGGTTCTGAATGAATCATGGTTGACTTTGTTAGGCCAGTGAAACTGCCTTGCAGTATATTTGTGATTGGGGCCAAAAATGTGCATTTTGCCTCTGCCATATTTAAACAGTGCTCTTTAAGTGTATAAACAGCAGTTTACTAATGGAGCTGGGACTGTCACTTTTTTTCATTCCAACAATTTTACCAGGATGCTTATAAGTGTATCAGTTTTGGAAGAGGAACATTTGTAATTTTCCTTATTAGAAAAATATATTTCATGTGAGTACATATTTTATGCCAGTATATTTATTAATGAGTGAAGGGAAAAAATCACTGTAATGTTTCCACCCAGATAACATGCTGTTATTATTTTGGTACATATCCTTCCACCTCTTTTATATATTTACTTTGAGACCTCCTTACTCTCACCTCCCAAAAAACAGGGGGACCAGGTTCTTAAATGAACAGCAAAATGATAGTAAGCCACAGATTTAGGGAGACCTTAGAAGAAAGACAATCTTTGGCTATAAGGAAGGGGATAAAGCATCAGAGATGAGAGCCATGCTTTCGAATGTTTCACATTTAGTTTCTTAATATTTTGGGGGGGAGGCTTCTGTTTTTCTTTGTAATATAGCTGAATCTCTAGGAGTAGTTACCACCTGGATTCATGGTTATTAAAGTAATTTCTCCATTGCCCCCAAAGAACTTTAGTTATACTCAGCTTTTACCTTAATCCTTGTACAGTTCTGCAGGGCAAACCTTTCTCAGCTCTGAGCGGTCTTTGCAAGTGGGGCCAAGGAGCCACCTTGAACCAAAAAAAGAGCATTATGTCACCGGAAGCCCAAGCCCAGGGAATACAAGGTATGACCCAATAATCATACACTCCTTTGCAAGGAGACCCTTATGACTCCTTGTTTAGCGAAGAGCCAGCTGGTGACTTTCAGAGTGTACTTAGTCACTCCAACCCACTCATTCAGATCCTATTCTGTTCACAAGACTGTCCTTGGATTGGATGACTTTCTCTATTTAGAGGCAACAGCAAGGCCTTTGTGTTCAGCTGGCTTCGTTTGCCCCCTCGTACCATTCTTCAGTTATAGTCTACCAGCCAGACTCACCTTAGCCCAGCTGCGTGGGTGCTCTGAAGCTGTGCAAGCCCCGTCTCAACCCTGAGAAGGGAAAGTGACTCTGGCCGCACAGGCTGTCCTGTCGGTAGTTCAGAGATGTTTCTTGGATTTGGGAGGGGTGAGGAGAGGTATAGTTTTGGTTTTGACAAAGGTACTAAAAGGTCAACAGATCTTGGAAAACCTCACATACTAAATGTTAAGAGATACAAAATCTAATAGGTCACAGAGGAGACGACTGATTTTTCACTTTTGTACCTAGTATCATTAGGAATTAGGAAATGCACATTGAAAGGCATAGTACATTTGCCAAGTGGAATATTCAGCTAGTATCTTATTTCTCGGTTTTCAAAGGTTTAGATTCTATAGTTGAGGAAGGACCCATAAATCTGTTTTCAGATGGGTTGTCTACAACTGGTGGGCTTTTGCCAAGCGTTGAAGTTGGCATGGCCAGTTTAGATGCATACTTTACTCGAGCACCTGGAGAGGCCACAGAGTCTGGGCATGGGGGAAAAGAAAGATTAAGAGTGCCCTGTCTGGGTGACTTGGTTTAGAGCCCTGAGATTTAGAAGACAGTGGGGCAGGCTACAGAGGTACTTATTCTCGAGCGTGAGTGGGAGCATTTGGGCTCAAGAGTTTCTGAGGGAATAGTCCTTGGTCTGAGAAAGTGAGGAAAGGATATCTTTCTGCTGCAGAGCTTGTGGCTCATTTCCTTACCTGATGGTTATTCAAACACTGCCCAGAAGCTTCTCAGGTCTCTAATCAGTTAACTAACCGGCTGAGTGAGTTTAGTTGTAAGTAATGAAGAAAAGCAAAGGTCGGGGCAGTTGTCAGGATTGTGACCTGGGGTGGTTAATTACCTGGAACAGATGTTCTTTGTTACTGCTACACTTGTTAGACTTAGAAAGGGAATCAGGATGGTGTGTCAGAAGTCATTTGGGGGGGCAACCTGACAAGCAAACTAAACTTCCTCATGTTGCAGCTGTCCTGTTAGTGTTGCTGTAGTAATTGTAGAGTCAGAACAGTGCCAGTGTGGTAAACCTTGCTTGTATGCAGAATGCATATCTTAAGATCCACCTGACTAAAAGTAGATAAGGTTTGTGGGTACAGATTTCTAGGATAAAAGATTTTGCATTTGGGTTTATTGCACTTGGCTTCCTTTCCAGGGACTGGTTTTTAATTGCCTGTCAGTGGCTTGGGACTTACTCTTTGCTTCAAGGTGTGAGTAAAGGAATCACTAATGTGATGTTCTGTGTTGGTGAAAATCTAGGACTCAGGAGCACAGGTCTCCTTGGATGGGGATTGTCTTTCCTTCCAGGTAAAGCACTGGGTTTGAGTGAGGACTGTTTTAAAACATCAATGTGGGTGTTCCATCACAAAATAGATGTGTTGGTAACTTTGAGACAACTTGCTATACAAAGATCTAGTTTTACCAGGGTACTAAGCTGTGAGTCAATTGATACCACTTAAAGACTGGTTACAACTTCTTTTTCAGGAAGCATCTGCAGGTATAGCAGGAAAGTTGTCAAGTACATGTTAGGCCAGTGTATAGGAAATCTGCTTACAATGGCTGCCTTGAGGTGCATGCATTGGGCATGAGGCTTTAGCATGTTCTTTAAGATCCTTTCCATTTGCTCATGGTTTTGTGAGCCCAATGAGGAGCACCCATGTGGCCAGAGCATGGCGGACTCTCTGTGGCTTGTGCACACAGCGTGCTGATGGAGTTAATGTGTAAGCAGGAAATGGCCTCCTGTGCCAGGCTGCATATGAACCATCCTAGGTTTCTCAGACCAATTACTGTCTCTTCACTTCGTCTGGACCCAGGACCTCAGAAGCCATGTCGAAGCACCACAGCGATGTCGGGACTGCCTTCATTCAGACGCAGCAGCTGCATGCAGCCATGGCTGACACATTCCTGGAGCATATGTGCCGTCTGGACATCGACTCGCCACCCATCACGGCCCGAAACACTGGCATCATCTGTACCATTGGTGAGTAGGTGTGGTCCTCCCCAGTCCCAGATCAGGCCTCATGTGACAGTGATCATTCCTCTTCTGAAGAGAGTAAATAAACGTAGCCAAATTGGATTTTGAGCACCTAACACAGATTCTTAGGGGAAGTCCGATAACACAACAAAGCACAACAAAGCATGGGTATGCTTTCTGTTGTGTGCTAAAGACAAAATATATAGGGTGTCTTCCTTACCAGATCTTTTAGGAGCTTCTCACAAACCTTTTTGGCATGCTTTGTGCAACCAGGACCCTGTGCTGGATATCTTGTCTGTGCTTCATTGAGAGCAAAGAGGGCTGGCATCTAACTAGGCTTTGTGAGTTAGATGGAGCCTATGGAGTTGTAAGTGAATTTGAAGGAACTGTGAGTGTCCCTCTAAGTCAAGGAGGTGGACTAGCACAAAAACAACCTTCTGTTTGTTTTTGAGAGAATGAAGAGCTATTAGGCAGCGGGGGTGGGGGTGGAATTTTAGGGGGAAGTAAACTGTTCAGAGTTCTTTACATTTAAAGGTTAAAGGGTTATACCTATTCTGAATAATTAATACTGATTGCTTTAAAACTGTATTTTACTAGGCCCAGCCTCCCGATCAGTGGAGATGTTGAAGGAGATGATAAAGTCAGGCATGAATGTGGCTCGTCTGAACTTCTCCCATGGAACTCACGAGGTGAGCCTCATCAGGACAGTTTGGCCACCTGGACATCTCATAGGGAGCAGGAGGGGAGGCAGGTATTCCATTTAACCACAGTGGATCAGATAAGAGTGAGTCTGGGTTTCTTCACACTGTTGTCTTTACAACCCAACCCTGGTCTCCTTCCACGTCAACTGGCAAGTTTCCTTACACAAAGAAGGAAACAATCATGTCTCCCCTTCCCCAACATTCACATACCTCTGCTGCCATCAGCCCTCATAAAGGGGTGTGATCTGGAACATAACCCCCACTTCGCCAGCATTGTGTTCCCAACATATCCCATCCCAAGGCTTCTGCTACATTAAAATCAAACCAGTCACCATACTTCTTCAGTAGCCTGGTAGGTGGCCTTAACGATGGTGCAGTGTCTGAGCTGATTTGATCTATAAACAGAAACCTAACCTAGAACTAGGCCACAGTTGTTGGGAAATGCTCCCTTCCTGATTCTGTTCCCAAGAAAGGTACAAACTCCTTTTGGGGGGGGGGGGGGGGGGGGGGAGGGCCCTCTTCCTGAAGAGGACACTACCTTTTTAAAAGCTTTAGGCTCAACCATGTGCCTTGCAGTTTCATACCGGTATTGGTAGAGGAGTAATGAATAAGGTAGACTTTCCCTGCTCTATATAGACTTGCTATTTTTCCTGTTGAGACTATAGAACTGCTACTCTGTAAGGTCAAGTGATGAGGGGTTGCCCTCTGGCATTTGGAGATGGTGTTGAGTCTAAAAATAAAGCCTCGGGAAGTGCAATCTAAGAGGTGAATTCCTCCTTTCTGGAAACATGAGACTCTTCATAGATTCCCCAACCCATGTTTCATAAACAGCCTATGGCCTGGCTGGTGACTGGTCACCAAATGTCATGGGAATCTGACCAAGTTAGAGCAACAGCAAGCCCCTTAGGACATTCAGTAAATCTCCAGGACATTCAGTAAATCTCCAGAGGCAGGACTCACCAGGGATTATTTCAAGTGTTAAGCTTAGCCCAAAGGGAGAGCTAAGACAGCAAGTAAGGGTTGTTTCATTCTTGATTCCTGTTGCCCAAGTGTGTCCACGTCTCTCGTGTGCAAGGGAAGGAGTAGAAAGAGAGTTCAGAAGTTGACCTTTTACTGGGCCGTTGGCCTCTTCCATCCTGTAAAATAACACCTCCCAGCTCTGAAAGGGCAGGGCTGAGTGGGAGCTGCTGCACCTGCCACAATGGGACTGGCTTTGGGTTTTTAAAACTGCAAAAGGCATTTGAAGATTATCTGTGTGTTTCTTATTCCCAAATTAGAACTAGAATTTAAAGATAGATCAATCCAAGTACCACTTGTGTGTTTAATTTTGAAGTTTTTGACAAGGGTAAGGGGTCTCCTGGAATCAGGGTTTTGGAAATTGATCTGAAACTGTCCTCATAGTATATAATATAATGCAAATACTTTTAGTTTGATCACATGTCAAGGGTCTTAATTCACATGCACCTTTGACTAGAGGCTGGGACATGCTTTTTGGAGCTCCTGGGGAGTTTTCAACATTCCTATAAGCAAAACATTGAAATTGAGATCTCTCCCTCACCCAGGTGGAGGGACATCACTGTCACAGTGTCATGAGGTTTTGATAGCTTTGCTACAGTGTCTCTGTCTCCACACCTTGCAGGTCATTTATCGAATATATGTGCCCATAATGCCACATTAATCAGATACTGACTTTTAAGCAACCTAAATTTTGAAACTTTCAGAGGGATAGCATTGATTGATGGGATTATTAAAACTTGAAAATATCCAACAAAGCTACAATCACATTAGTAGAGTCCAGTATACCTCCCAGAAGTATACCAAAAGATGATACTATAGTGGCTTTTTGAATAATTGGTTTTATGGTTAGTATACACTTTTATGTCTGCAAGGCTAAAAGTGTGTGCTCATTCTAAAGTATTCATAGTTTAAAAAATGTACTAGGCTACCAAAATATGTCAAGTTCCATAAAGTAGAAATTATATAGATCACATTCTTTGATATTTTAATGAAAATTAGAAACAAAGTCTATCATAGATATACTCTTAAATCTACATATCAGAAAGTAAAGGTCTGAAAGTTAATGAAGAAAGAATTTAACTTAAACACTGGGGGGGGAAGGGGAAGAACCTAAACCTTAAAAGGGTAAAGGAAAGGAATTAACTTACAAGCATAGCTTTACAAAATGAAAAATAAGTCTGATAAAATTAAGCTAAGAACTGATTCTTGGTGGTGTAGTAAATAATAATTAATTTAAAAAGCTGGCAACTTCTAAAAAGGCTGGTCAAGGAAAAGGATGCACAAAAAATGTGCTGTACATATTAAGGAGAGTTTTTAAATCATAAAAACTTATATATTAGCTCCTGTAAATTGAAATGAAATTTAGTTTTTGTAAGAAAAGGTAAATATCCAAGAATTCAAAAATTTGAATAGACTGACAGCCCTAAGATTGAAAAGGTAATTACGATGGACTGTGCTGGAAAACTAGGCCTCCACGATTTTGAAGGCTGACTTGCTTTCAAGAAAAAGTTAGATCCTTGTTACACTGTCCCAGAGCATAGAGAAATGTAAAAAATGTCCCAGTATGTTCTTTGAAACCAACAAACCTGATGCTAAGATGAGACAAGGAATATACCAAAAGCAGACAGATTCATACACTAGACCGTCTCAGATAATGTTACAGAATTCATTAATTTAAGTCCATTAGTAGGGTGTTAAAGGGATGTCATGACCCATGACTAAGTAAACTTTAATTCTACTTTTGGATTATACAATGTGGTCAGTGCAATACAAGATGATAACAGGTGACACTTATTCAATAACTACTCTCTGCTCATCTCTACTTTATTTACACACATCAACTCTGAGAAAATGGCATTTAATACTATTCAGAACCCATTCCTTTTAAAAATGATTTATACTTCCAGTTTATAGTCTATACTGTTTTCATTGCATGCCAGCAATAGGAAGGAACCTCATCTGACCTCTACCAGTGATACTAATGATTCTCATTCTAGACTGTCTAAATGACATACTGAAGATTGTCCTGCTACCAGCCTCAGATAATATCAACCTTGGAGGTGAGGCTCTGCTTCCAGCTCCCTTCTAGCCTCCTATTTGCAGGACAGTGGTAGCTGGTTAAAGGACAAGACCCACCTTGCTGAGTGCTTCTGTTATCAGCAATGTCATATTGATAGGGCCTCTGTTATCAGCAATGTCATATTGATTACACTGAGAACTTTTGACATCTTGGCCCTGAGTCCTCTTTAGTCAAACAGTAATGAAAAGTGGAAAGAGATAAAGAGATGAAGAGAGAAGATTGAAGCCAGGATTTCTTGCAAATGAGGAATAGCAAAAGGAAACTCAGAGAAAGGCACTGTTGAGCTTTCCTTATTCCACTTGCATCTCTCATCAGACTCTAGAAAGTGATTGTGCAAACCAAGTCTGCATGACCTTAGTGGTATATTATTTAGCTTAGGCTGCTGTTAGCTAAGTAAATAATTTTGAGTTAGAGCTGGAGTCAATAGAGGAAAAACTCATAATTACCAAATCTATCAGAATCTAACTCTGATTACCAGTATTCTCTGAACACAAATTCTAGGTCTCTGCTCTGCTTGTCTGCTTTATTTAATGAATCCTAGGTAAGAGAATACCCAAAGGGACACAACTTTCTTACATGTTGAGACACTTAGACCTTTAATAGTTTCTGGTGGTAATATCCTAAAGTTCGTAAGTGTTGCTCTCAGAGTGAATAGCTGAGCCTGTCAGATAATGGAGGCGAAGGTCTAGATCATCTGCAGTGTCAGTTCCAGGGGCAGATCCTTGTGTGAGGGGCACACTTGCCATCTTCTTCTCTCCCCCAGTATCATGCAGAGACCATCAAGAACGTGCGCACAGCCACAGAAAGCTTTGCTTCTGACCCCATTCTGTACCGGCCCGTTGCTGTGGCCCTGGACACCAAAGGACCTGAGATCCGCACTGGGCTCATCAAGGGCGTGAGTATCCTGGGAGAAAGGGAACCGTGGGCACCTCTCCAGCCTTCCTCAGCAGCCTCTCCCTGCCCAGAAGCCTAGTCCTAAGCTTAGGTCTACAAATGTGGATTTTGTTCATCACCGTCAAAAACATTGCTTTGTCTTAGCTTACAAAGCGTGATATCAGAAAGGGGTCTTTATACTCAGCAAACCTACTACCAAATCTCTCTAACTTTAGGGAGGAGTTTCTTTGTCTTCCCCTATCTTTAAATAGCATAAATAAAACATTGTGGTTTTTTCCCCCCCTTTGGGTTATTTCTTTAGATATAATAAGTTAGAGAATAGCATCCTTTGTACCCAGTGGAAAATGTTTTATTGTTACTTATAGCTGAGATTAGAGCTTTGCTCCCTGGAGAAAACAGCTTTTCATTTCCTGCCTGGAAGGCCTGGCTTCTGTTATTTGGACTCAGGGCTTACTCTCCTGTCCCTAGAGCGGCACTGCGGAGGTGGAGCTGAAGAAGGGAGCCACTCTCAAGATCACTCTGGATAATGCCTACATGGAAAAGTGTGATGAAAACATCCTGTGGCTGGACTATAAGAACATTTGCAAGGTGGTGGAAGTAGGCAGCAAGATCTATGTGGATGACGGCCTTATTTCTCTGCAGGTGAAGGAAAAAGGTATGTTTAGTAGTCAGGGTCTAATTATCTAAAACCCTCTCCCGTCTCTTGACAGAAGGAAGATAGGAAGTTACTTGACTGCCAGCAAGGTTGAGTCTGTATGTCCTAAAGAGATAACTGTTTATCCTCAAAGCCAGACTTCAAGTAATCATGCTCTTGGGGAGCACATGAGATTTCTTTTGAAATCTTTTGGCTTTCTGCTTCCTGCCTTCATCCCTCAATATGATCTGTACAGGACTCCAGTGTGACTGAGAATGGTAGGCTTGTCTTAAAAAAAAAAAACCTGTGAGTAGATATTAGTATCCCTATTTAACAGACGAGGTAGCAGCACAGAGAGGGAAATTGACTTCCCCGCGGTGACAGTGGGGCTGGGCGCTACGGCCCCGTTGCCACGGTGTACTGCTTCTCGGTTCTCGGCGCTGTGGAGAGAGACAGTGGTGCCTGTGCACTCATTGCTCTTTGTCCCCACCTGCTCCATTTCACACAGGTGCTGACTTCCTGGTGACTGAGGTCGAGAATGGGGGCTCCTTGGGCAGCAAGAAGGGTGTGAATCTTCCTGGGGCTGCTGTGGACCTGCCTGCTGTGTCGGAAAAGGACATCCAGGATCTGAAGTTTGGGGTAGAGCAAGATGTAGATATGGTGTTTGCATCTTTCATCCGCAAGGCATCTGATGTCCATGAAGTCAGGAAGGTCCTGGGAGAGAAAGGGAAGAACATCAAGATAATCAGCAAAATCGAGAATCACGAGGGAGTTCGGAGGTCAGTCCCTTGCCACCTCCTTCAGCCCCAGACTCTTGAAGAGCAAAACGTACCCCATGAATACCTGGTCCGCAAACCTGGCTACATGCCCGTCAGAATGGGGACTCATAGGCCAGTCCCAAGCCTCTGAATCAGAATACTTTAAGAGGCCAGTCAGTGGAGGGCATTGACATTACCAAAAAAAGAAACTTGCCAGCAGCCAGCACCCCAGGTAGTTGGGATGTCCACAGCACAGTCCTTCCTCTTGGCCAGGGACCAGCATTGCAGAGGGAGGACAGGGCCACTGCACACAGGTCACGTACCACCATGCTGTGTTCGGAGCTCTACCTGTGTCTGCTAGAGTTGGGGGGTGATCAAAAGAAGACAGAAAGTTCTTGGAAAGGGGCTCTTTTTGGCCCCTCACTTGGAGCCATGTGGAGGAAAGCTCAGGGTCTAGTGTAGACACTGAAATCAGGGCCCCCAAGTCTCTTGGACAGCCACTGGCTGATATCACAATGCTCTGCCATGTGCCTGCTATACAGAGCAAAGCCTGGCGTTCTCTAGGTTCAGATTGTCCCAACTCAGGGAGGAACCTAATGAGTATGGCCAGCTTGGTGACATCTTTTCCTTTTTGGCTTCCCACAGGAAAGGTCTCAGACATGCTAAACCTCACACCTCCTTGTGTTGAGGCATATTCATAGGGAAGGTGGGAGGAGCAGCTCTACCCACTGCTGTGACCCTGCCATCCCCAGCCCAGTGTTGATTTTCTTTGCACCAGGCCATTTGAGGTCCTCCCTCTGCCAACCTTGAGAAGCCAGGGGTGCTAGCTTTGGCCCCAGCCAAGAAAAGCCTTGTCTCCAGCAGGTTGGAAGGGACTACCTCCAGTACTGCCTCAAGTGTCATTGCTGGAAGAGGTCATGGGCCTTGTGTCCCAATAGTCAGCAGACCACGGGTAGCTTTCCGCCTTGGTGTGCTGTCTGCAGTGGAGATAGTAAAGACACATTAAATGGGGCTCCACAAGATATCGATGGGGGGGGGGGGATGAATCCATGGGACTTTGGAGGCAACGTCCCCCCCATGCCCTCCCTACCAGTGAAGTATCCACACTGGTGTTGAGGAAGTTAGCCCACTGTAGGAGACTAAGGTAGCTGGGACACCTCCCCACCACCACCATGACCCCCCCAAGATGATGTCCCAGGTCATAGGTAGCTGTCCTTGCACACGGACACCTAGGTCAGAATCCCATTGACCTTTGCATCATTACTTGTCTTATGGCCCCTATTCCCCATAACCTCTTCCGACCTTCCCTGTCAGGTTTGATGAGATTCTGGAAGCCAGTGATGGGATCATGGTGGCTCGTGGTGATCTAGGCATTGAGATTCCTGCAGAGAAGGTCTTCCTTGCTCAGAAGATGATGATTGGGCGATGCAACCGAGTTGGGAAGCCTGTCATCTGTGCCACACAGGTATGTGTCTCCCCTTGTGCATAGAGAAGCTTTGGTGCTACCTGGTCTTTTCCCATGGACCCTGCCCCCTCCTCTCTTTCTTGCACGCACACACACAGTCCCTCTCTCCCTCCCTCTTTTCTCCCCCTTGCACCCACACAGCCATGCCCTGTGCACCTACAAATACACTGTTATCCAAAGGTACAGTCACTCTTCTCTGGACAGCCCAGGCCAGGCCACGGATCATTAATGCTTTGTCTCCTTCCAGATGCTGGAGAGCATGATCAAGAAGCCTCGCCCCACCCGGGCTGAGGGCAGTGATGTAGCCAACGCAGTCTTGGATGGAGCTGACTGCATTATGCTGTCTGGAGAGACAGCTAAAGGGGACTACCCCCTGGAGGCTGTTCGCATGCAGCACCTGGTAAGTTCTTTGGGCCTTGCTGTCTCCCTGAGCTCAGGCCTACGCTGGGATAGGGCAAGCTCTGGTACAAAGCAACACCTTACTGACTCTGCACTCATCATTTTTTGTGATCCTCCAGGTGACAAGAGGTGTGTACGGGGGGGGGGGGGGGGAGGGTCTAATTCTTTTTTTTTTTCTAATCTATCTTCCCTGCTCACATTCCCTCTCCTATTTCCATCTGTTCTGGAGGTATTCCCCTCCATTGGACATAGTCCAGTTTACTTCTGGCTTCAGGACTGTAAATCCTTCCCCTGGCTCAATGATTGGCATACTTGTACCTCTTTTTCTGAACAGCCCAGAGGACTCTGCTGTATTCTGGAAAAGGGCCAGAGCTCCTGTTCCTAGTTGTCCTCTTTGTTTGACTCCCAGCCTGTCCTGCAGACAAGTGCCTCCCTCACAGGGCGTCCATCTGCACTGCACTGGGGCTGTTGTCCGCAATGAACTGACTGCCTGCTGGGCTTGCTTGGAGTTTGCAAGTGGGACCTGCTTGCTGGGCTGTTGCATTCACTCCCCAGACTAAACACTGGGTTTAAGTGATGGGTGACATGTCCACAAACAGAGACAGGTGATAGGATGACTGTTCCTGGCTAGTCCTGGAGCAAGAACATCCAGAGGCCCTGTGCATGACTCTCCTTTCTCCCCAGGGGTTAGCTGGTCACAGCTCCTTTGCCAGGCCATGTCCCATGGCTGGCTGCTTCTCAGGGTCGGGCACTCATGGCCCCAACTGCATATTCTGGAGCTCACTTAAAGAGTCAGTGCAGAGAGCCATTATCAGGTTTACTTGTGCCTGGGAAATGAATGTTGCAAATCAGTTTTCTCACATTTGTCCTGAATCAGTTCTTAAAGTGAACAGTTAAGTAAATTTGTCTTATCTTGAAAATTTTTTCTTTGACCTTCCTATTTACTTTGTAGCCCATCCTCTTTATGTGGTACCCTCCCCTGCATTCCTCCTTAAAACAATCCTCAAAGAACCTCAGCTAGGCATCTTCCTTTTGCCCTTCACTTCCTGTGTGTCTAGTTCTAGATTTCAGTAACTCCCAGAGAAGACGTGATTTTATTTAAACACTTTCGGTGGTGAATAGAGATGTCTCAAATAGATCTCCTGGGTGTCCTCGGCATCCTTGATGAATTCCCCACTTTGAAGTTGAGAGAGACCAATCTCTGACCTTGGCTGAGATGCTACCCCATGTGACATGATTGCTGTTCTGAGCCCTGGGTCTCTGGTGGGAAAGCACCTTCTCTCCCCAGGGACGCAGGAGGCAATAGAACTTAAACCAGCGCCCTCGCTAGGTGGCTGCTCTTAAAGGTATATGAACCTCCATTCTGCTCAGTTATGTGGGTTCATATCCTTAGAGGTCAGCAAGTGACCTTAACCTGATTGACTGAACCCATGAAAACACCTAGACCTTTTTGGTGACCTCTCAAGGCTTTATCAGTGAAGTGAATTAGATGAGATGTGTTAAATTATAGCCTTAGCATTAAGTGTTCACTACCATTAAATGCTTGATAAGTCCCTGGGTAGATTGATGTAATCTTCATAACCTCTGGGTAGATTGTTGCCCCAGTTTAAAAAAGTTAATGGTTCCATGATGATAAGTCTGGGTCCATACCCATTGCCCCTGAAGCCAGCATGTCCTGCAGCATAGCACTTCGGTAGCAGGAGATAAATAAGGACTTGTCTCCATTTGAGGTCTGTACTGTGTTCAGAGACTCAGGTTCTGAGCTCTGAATCCCATGTCTGTTCATCCATAAACCAGTCTTCCTGTGCACAGATAGACCCATAGAGAGAACTGCAGGGTTTGTGTTGCCTGGCACTGCTCCCATGGGGTCTGAGCTGGGTGTGCCGGTCTCCCCTCCCTGTGTTCCCCATCAATGCTGACAGCTTGTCCTCTTCACTTTTGACTGCTCTCTCCTATGTGTAACTGGTGCAGTTAATGACCTGTAACTAAGGGCTAGGCAGTACCAGGTATGGTTTATTTCCCATTCACGTCCCTTGTCTTCGAGCTGCATGCTTTCTGTTCCTACAGAAAGAAACCTTTAACCTAGTATCCTGCTATACTCCGCATATACTGTCTTTCTTAATGAGATGGCATAACTGATTCCTCCTAACCCTTCATTCTCTAAGAAGCTGGCAATTGCATTGTAATCTAGATCTTAAGTTTTCTTTCTAATTTTTGGTGTTCTCTGAGCAGGTGGTCTATAAATAACTCAGTGGCTTTCTCATGACTGTCAATGATTAGAGTTTAATCACTTGTCTTATTAAATTTATGTGCATGCTTTCACAGGCATCTGGCTCTTCACAAGGCTGTTTAGTGTGCCCCTGTTTGTCCACCATCCTGCTTAGATGCAGTGAAGCCACATGGCTTTGGCTTGGTGTTTTGCCAGCATTCCAGTGCTGCTCAGTGTGCTTCCCTGGCAGCCATGGGAAAGGCTCACAGCACCCCCCATGTCTGAGGCCGAGCAAGCATTTCACATGTACGTAGAGGCCAGGCAGGAAGTCCTGTGGTGACCAGACAGCCATGTGAGGAGGGAGGGCCTGTTCTTCCTGTAAGCTGTGTCATGAGGCAGTGTGGTTAAATCCTGCCAAGTTTACGGGCCCCTCCTGGGCCTGATTTCATGCCCAGGTGCTATAGCCTGCTGCCATATTGTATTCCACCTCCACCCCAGCCCACACAAAGTCCTTCCAGAATGGAGGGACCACTTTCCCCTCTATTGGATGGGAAGCAGCAGCAGTTAATGCTGGTAATTCACACCTCCCTGGGCAGGCTTTCATCACCCAGCCTCTTTGCAGCTGCCTAAGGACAGATTTAGCCAATTAACCTAAGATTACAGTCTTCCTCTCTGATTAATTCCCCATTCTGTCTTTCCATGTGTGTTGTCTCTTTTCTCCCCCTCCCTCCCTCTTCCTTGCTCTCTCTTCCCCTAAAACCTACAGATAGCTCGTGAGGCTGAGGCAGCCATGTTCCACCGCAAGCTGTTTGAAGAACTTGTGCGAGCCTCAAGTCACTCCACAGACCTCATGGAAGCCATGGCCATGGGCAGCGTGGAGGCTTCTTATAAATGTTTAGCAGCAGCTTTGATAGTTCTGACGGAGTCTGGCAGGTAGGGCCCTAAGGGCAGGTAACTCCGCAGGATAACCAGCCTCTTGCTTCAGCTGCTAGAAGACAGCCGCGCTTGAGACTGGGCTCAGAGCCTCTTCGCATCTGCAGGAAGCCAGCCAGAAAGGTCAGGGCAAGACAGGACCAGAGGGTCTGTTGGTTCAGTAGGCACAGTGATGACACAGCCACCTGGTGAAGGACTGGCTCCATGAGTCATTCTTGTTTATCACGACTGTCCAGTGATTGGGTCCTCTTGACCTTTGCACTCAGGGACATGTTCCTCACCAAGTGTCTGGGCGATTCCTCTCCTCCGCCTCCCATCATGACACAGCTCTGACAAAGCTCTGTCCCCCCCTCTCGTCCCTCTGGACGGATGTTGCTCCCCTAGATTGCCCGTGAGGCAGAGGCCGCCATCTACCACATGCAATTATTTGAGGAGCTCCGCCGCTTGGCGCCCATTACCAGCGACCCCACAGAAGCTGCCGCCGTGGGTGCAGTGGAGGCCTCCTTCAAGTGCTGCAGTGGGGCCATAATCGTCCTCACCAAGTCTGGCAGGTAGGAGGTAGCGGTGACTCCTGGGGAGTGCTCTGCACCTTTCCTTGGGGGCCCTGGGAGCAGTGCATTGAATGGTGCTCAGCTGGCACTGAGCCAAGGTAAGACCCCTATGCCTGCCACCTGGACCCCCACAGGGAAGGAGCATCCCCAGCTCCAGGCCAGGATTTAGAGTGACGAGTCCATGGGCCTGAAGGACTCTCCGCAGAGCTCATAAGGCATGTTGGGTCACTTACACCCTCACCATGAACCAGAGACATCATTGCACAACTACGGATAGACTGTCTACCAAATGGTTATCTGATATTGAAAAACTGGTCTCTAAAGTAATAGAAGACAACAGTTCTGCTAATTCCAATTGCCATGTGTTCTTTCAGAGTTCAGTTTGCAGATTTAGTGCTGTTCACTGACCTACTGATTGGCTGGTGTACCCATCCCTGTCCATTTTCAAGGCTCAAAAACATGGATTCTAGCCTAGGAAAGGCTGCCATGTTGTCTGGCTGGCACATCGTGGTACCATGCAGCGGAGTGGAAGCCCATGCCTGACCTTGCACTTGGGATCCCTTGCTAGTCTGGGCCTGGAATCAGCCTCCGTCACTCCCCAAGCTTGTGCCCATGGAGCCACTGGGGTTCCCTGCAAGAGGAGCAGGCAGGCAGTCCCCATGCTTGGAAGTGAGCTGCCTGGAGAAGCAAAATGGACCACGCAGACTCCTCAGCAGAGGACTCGGGCAAAAAACCCCAAACCCCGCAAGAACCTTGTGAAAAGGTCCATCCTTTGCTCTGGCTATTTTTAACTCCAGTCTCCTGGAGTTTCACACTCAGCAAGTTCTACCTTCAACAACTGCTTCCCTCTGAAAGCCTTATATAGAGACCAAACTTTTTAAGCATCTCATGGTGTTTCCTTGGTGCCTCTTAAGTGTCCCCATCGTTTTTCTTCTGGAGTCCAGCTCCTCCTGAAAGCTTTTCCCGAGCTCTAAGACATCTGCATCTCCAGGTGTGCGCTTTCAGTGTACATGTGAGCACCTGGCATCGGAGCTTCAGAAGGGTCCCAGCTGCAGAGGCGCGTTCACAGGCAGCGGCCCCCCGCTAACACACAGCTCCTGGCCTGGCCTTGCCTCCGGGCAGCACAGAGACTTACTTAGATCGTCAGGTTTGCTGCTGAGGCCTTTTCCAGGGACCTGAGAGTCATATGGAGTAGGCTTGCATTGTAGATTCCCAGGGGGGACTGGTGGGCTCTACTTCTGTCCTCAACAGATGTCCAGCGTCAGGTGCTGTTCATATACTGCTTGACTTAGAGCTGGGTGCTGGTGAGGTTGCACTGGGGCTAGCTCCTAGTGCCAGAGTGGAAAAGTTTGGGGCCCATAAACTATTAGAGGCTCAGGCTGGCATAATGAGCTGGAATAGAGGGTGAGCTATTGCTATAGATCCTGAGGGCTTCCAGGAGATTCCTGGGACACTTCTTAATGGTTTCTTCTGCCTGCCCACCATGCTGTCTCAGGTCTGCTCACCAGGTGGCCAGATACCGCCCCCGTGCCCCCATTATTGCCGTGACCCGCAATCACCAGACAGCTCGCCAGGCCCATCTGTACCGTGGCATCTTCCCTGTGGTGTGTAAGGACCCAGTGCAAGATGCCTGGGCTGAAGACGTGGACCTCCGGGTGAACTTGGCCATGAATGTTGGTACGTGGCTTTGAGTAAGGGCTACCGCCTGGAGGGAAGGGGTACCTAGGCTGGGACTCTGTAGAAAGGGAACGTGCAGACGTTAGGGTGAAAGAACTCTAGTTGACCGTACTGGGAACACTCCTCGGAATTCTGCATCTCATTACTGTTGTCCTGGGCTCAGCCCTGGGTGGCAGAAGGGGTAGAGGGGGGCAGGCCTTTGCATTGTGGGTCTGAGCAACTCATTTCTTCTCACTCTTCCCCATTTATGCCTCAAAACGGGATTCTGGACAATCAGGGTAGTCCATTCTTTGGCATCTGCTCACTACTGAGGTTTTTATAAATTGATTAGAGCTGCTGCTCTGGGGAGTGGTGCATGTGCAAGATGTGCAAGTACTCAGGTGGCCTTCATCCCTGTATAAGAGGATGTCGAGGATGTCGTGGGTGAAAGGAAGCAGCCTATCTTCGACCTTGGCAAGGCTTTCCATTCTCTGGAGTATGGGATGGATGCTATCCAAAGGTTTTTGCCAACTCTGCCATCTAAATGATGTTTCAGAACTGCCCTGTCCCCTTTCCCAGGACTTATGAGGCTGGTGCCACCTTGTGGTGTGAGGAAGTAATGATCATCCCACCTGTTCATTTACTGCTCACTGGTTGATTGAGGGGTAGGCACATGCCTGCCTGGCTTAGTTTTTTTCACCAAACTTCCTTCTCTTTCTCCAGGTAAGGCCCGAGGCTTCTTCAAGAAGGGAGATGTGGTCATTGTGCTGACTGGATGGCGCCCCGGCTCTGGCTTCACCAACACCATGCGTGTGGTGCCTGTGCCTTGATGGACCCCAGAACCCCCTTCCAGTCCCCATCCTATCCCTTTCCCCCAACCCATCCGATAGACCAGCAATGCTTGTAGTGCTCACTTGGGGCTGTAGTGTGGCACTGGTGGGCTGGGATACCAGGAAAGACCATTAGCGCCTCTATGAAACATGGTAGTTTTTAAGATCCTGCTTGTCTGGGGTAACCCAGAGTTGGGCTGCCTATCATGTGGGCCCAATTGTGAAATAGGCCATGTTGGGGCTGGAAGTTCCAGAGCTGAATACAAAGGGCAATAATAGCTCCTGTTGCTTCTCCTTTGTGCATTGTATTCAGTTCTTATAGAAAATGGATTCCCAGAAAACTTCCAAACCTGGCCTGTGGTCAGGAGACAGGCAGCAAGAGAGGGGCCTTCAGGCTTGGGGCAGTGGTTCCAGTTAAGTAGACTGTCCCTGGTCCTTAATTGCTTCTCCAATACCTCTGCCTTCCCAACTCCCGCCTTGTGTGTTGTGCGCTTCGTTCCTGCACTCCACTCAGCTGCAGACAAATACTCCACTTTCCACCTTCCGTTTTCCCTACGGCTGTAGCCTATTGCTGTCGAGCCTACCTGTATGTCAATAAACAGCTGAAGCTCCTGTTGCCTCTGCTTTCTGATTTTGGGGGGGCTGGGAGGGGAGGAGGAGATGGTTTGAACTCAAGTCTTCTGAGTGAAATGGTAAGAGCCTTGCACCTCCTGTGGTGATCCTGTTACTCATCTTCAGGGCAAAGGTGCTGGGAAGCAGTAACTACTTGGGGAATATACCTTCTCTTTCAGCACTCCAGGGAGATATGATAGCTGTGTCTCTGAAAGCTGTATCTGGAGAAATCTTGAACCAAAGGGTGGGAGAGTGCATGAAGGGGGGCCCCTACCAAGCTCCCTACATTCTTGCTTTGGTGTGTAAGCCAGTAATGAAGTGGTCCTTGGCTTGCCCCTCCCTTACCATAGGTCTTCCTGCTTTAGATGCCCCTAATTTAAAAGAGCTGTAGGATGAGACCTGGCTCCAAGTGAACAAGTCAGGACCGGGAACCAGGTTGTTCCCAATATCTAGTAGGCATTGGCCTGGGGCACTTTGTGCCCCTTTTATTTGCTGACCCTTCATCCCTCAATAAAGGAGGGAGGGTTGGAAACGTGACTGACCACTCTAGGCGCAAAGCCTGTCAGGTGAAGAACGGAAAACAGAGTTCACAGGTCAGCTAAGTTGGAGGGTGAGGACTTTGGTCCCATTCTCAAGGCTCAGTTCATTGCCAAACCCCAGAAATCTCTAAACTTAGGCTTGCCTTCTCCACTCTTGATGTCTGCCCACGTTCAGTCCCTCTGCAAACTCCTCTGAAATTTTGACTGGAAGTACATAAATTTCCAAATCTAAAAGTGCTTAAAAAGCAATTCCTGGGCTCTCCAACTATCATGTTCAAAATCCCCGCTAGTGTTCCTCTACTCTGGTGCAGAAAGAAACTGAAAACTACTCTGCAGTTCCTTGTTAGGGTAGGGAGGCTGGCGGGATCGGTTCCCGCAACAGTTTCTAGCTGAGACTGGGAAAGCTGAAGAGGAAGACGCAAGAGGGAATCCCCGGCCCTCGCTGTGAGGGGCTGAAGGCTCAGCATCGTAATAGCCTACGTTTTTCGTCTTGGGGTGCCAGCAGTAGACCTGAGCAGAGCTCGGGACACCAGCCTGGTTCTGGAAAGGGAGAGGAAACCGCCAATGGTTCGGGCCTGTCCCTTGCAAGCGACCAATGGGCGCGCGGGGGCGGGCCCTCCTCGGACTACCGCGGGCCGGCTGTGTAGCCCGCGCGCTACTCCCAGCGCCCGCTGCCGGCGCCGAGATGACCGCTCTGAGCCAGGGCGGGACCTCCGAGGCGGGCAGGTAAGGGGCTGCCGTCCGCGGGTCTGCTCCGGGGCCTGGAAGATCCGCGCGACTGACGCTGCCGGGCGAGGCTGGGGGGGGGACACGGAAGCTGCGGAGTCTCGTCGCACGGTGCCCGCGGGGCAGGCACTTTCCGCCGGAATGCGGGCTCGGCTCCAGGGCTGCGCCGCGCGTGCCCGGGCACCGCTGGTACCGCGAGGTGATCGTGCGGGAAGTCAGACTAAGTCTGTGGTCCTTGCGAGGGACCCCGACCTGGGGAATTAAGGACGCATGTGGGCATCAGAATGGTGGGGGCGCCCACCTTGGGACGCCACCCATTGTCCGCCTCCACCCCACCCCCTCCGCCGCGGTCGCGGTTCATTCATTCTAGCATTTACTCATTCATTCCCAGTCCTTTATACACCCCAGTTGCTATTGCCTTCCACCCAAGGGATGTCGCCTCCCTGATGACCCTCAGAGGGGTCACACTCCTCCCTCTGCCAGCCGGTCTGCACTTGAAGCGGCCCGCGGCTGCCCAGAAGGCTGTGTGGAGCTGTCCTGGCACGACTCGGCCGCACCCGGGCGCCGCGATCTCCCCAGTTGGGCGGGCTGGGGCCAGTCTCTCAGCCCGGAGATCTGACCCGACGTCACTCTGAAGAAAGAAAGTTCTTGTAGCCGGGGAAGGGGCAAGAAGGCAGACGGCCCTTCAGGTGACATCAAGAATTGTGGCCTTGGCCCTTTGAGGTCTTGGGGCCCTGCAAGTGGGATTTGGGAGGTTGATGCTGTAAGTTCTTGCCCCTCTGCAGGGCTCAAGCCCAACATTCTGAGCTCTGGAGGTCAGCCTAGCATCCCTGGCTACCAAGCTGTAGAGCAAGGAGGATGAATGTGGGAGCCCTGAGCCCGCTTCACACAGGTATGGAGCTGAGGAGATGCCAGGAGTTCCCTCAACTCCTGGGGTGTCCTGACCTCAAAGAGGGCTCTATCCAGCTGACACTTGCCCTTCCCTGCTTGCTTGCTCCCACATTCCACCATTTTTTAAGAATGCCTATCACTGTCGTGGACTGCTTTCACATTTCTGAGCTTAGGTGAGTCCTCAAAGTTTTAGCACAAACAAGAAAGGTCTGTGTGCCACTTCATCCTCCTAGAATGACCTGCTGAGGTTGAGGTGGGCAACACTCAAGGTACTTTATGCCAGCTAGTCTTCTGAAGTTCTTCCAGGAACATTCTTGGGGGGCTTTGCCCAATCTTTACCGTTGCTGTGGCCCTTGAATTCCAAGTACCAGATTTGTCAGCCCAGCAAGAATTCACAGCCTTATGCTATTCTATTCTATTTTGCTGAAATTTAGGACTAATCAAGTGCCCTCCCTGGGCCTGCTTTGCCATCAAAATTTAAGGAGATGGTAGCATAGGCTCTGGGTTTTTTTGGGGATTTTTGTTTTTTTCTTATTTATTTATTTTTATTTTTACATCATTCTTTTTGTGTATTTTTCCATCTCATTTGTGATCCTGTTGGGCCTCCATCACCATAGGCTCTTAAAGGCTTTCTCCATGCAGTGTTTCTGTACCTCTGCTGACTAACCTATCCCCCCTTCAATTTCTGAAGGCATTTTATTTCTTTACATCACTTCTCCTTTTTTTTTTTCTTTCAAGATTTACTTATGCATACAGAATTGGGGTGCAGGCCAGAGGTGCAGGACTGGTAAGAGGATTCATCAGAGACAGAGTGGGGAGCAAGACAGGCAGATTGATGAAGTACACTGCTGAGGAGGGGAGCAGCAGGTGGGTCAGAGGTCTGTGCCATGTAGGTCACCTCAGGGTGGGACCAAACTCTGCTGAAGCGGCTGCTGCTCGCTTGTAGTGCTGCGCTTTAACCCGCTGCGCACTTCTTTCTTTTCTTTACCTTTGAACAATGTATGAAAGTGAAAACTGCGGCTTTCCCGCTTGGTGGCCAGTACATTAAGTCTGAACACAGGATAATAATTGGCTTTTCTCCTTTCCTGAGAGGTGAGAGTAACTGATTTGGCAGTCTTGTCTGATGCAAGTGAAACTTTGGCATGAAGTTGGTCTTGGCCACTGTGCAGCTATTCACCTGGGCGGCAGGGCATTTTTCTGTCACCACCTGTTATCACCAACCTTTGAAGCTTTGATTAATTCAGCAGCTGTTTACTAAAGTAGGAAAGGAAGGGGTAGGAGGGAGGAGGGCAGACACCTGGGAAACGGCTTCCTGTGCTATTAAGTAATAGCTGTCTCCCTAAGGAGTACCTGCCTGCTGAAGCAGATTCCATAAAGAGGGAATTGTTCCCAAGAATAGAAGTGTCTACAGAGGAGGCTGACTCCTGCCTTCTCCCTAGCACAACTAGGCATTTTTTATGAATTTAGAAATGCTTGGTCATAATTTAGGACTGGAGTGTTTTAATAACCCTTGGAAACCTCCAAAGGCTGGTTGAAAACCCACTAGAAAATTATACTTAATTTTTAAAATAGACATCCCTTTTTGACTGGCACTGTTTTTCTTCATCTGAAATAAAAAGCACATAAAGAATTAGTCTAATTCAGACATGCTTTTCCTTCTAATGTGTTGACAGGGGACATCAATAGTATATTTTTTTAAATCCTACAGATATTTAATTTCACTGGTGTCCTTTTGTTTCCTGACTTAGGGTCAGAGCAGCCACTTGGGTGGTATGTCTGAGCACACATCTGTGACTGGCTAGAATAGTTTTTTTTCTTTCTTCTGTAAAAATATTAAATATTTCGAACATGTTAGCATTAACTAAATTGCTCAAAAACTAGCCAGTGAGGCTATTCAAAATGCTATTTGAAAAATAATTTTTGATATTTGGAGAAATTTTATTGTTAAATCACCAGCAACAATATTTCAGAATTGATAGTTAGACTGGGATTTCTTGAAACCCTAACATGTTGAAAAATATTTACATTTTTAATTGTTAAATCTTTTTTTTTTAAAGATTTATTTATTTGCTCATACAGAACTGGGGTGCAGGCCAGAGGTGCAGGGGCAGTGAGAGGATTCACCAGAGACAGAGTGGGGAGCAGGATAGGTAGACTGATGAAATACACTGCTGAGGGGGGCAGCGGGCGGGTCAGGAAAGGTCTGCTGCGCCATGTGGATCACCTCTGGGGCAGGAGGGGATCGAACTCATGCTGAAGTGGCTTTAGCTTCTTAGTGCTGTGCTTTAACCGGCTATGCCACTAGGGAAGGCCACTGTTAAATCTTTTTAAAAAAGAAGAAAGGAATACAATAATCAGCAAAAGCCCATCACCAAGCTTGGACAATTAGCAAGACATAGGTCAAGCTTGTTTTGTTTGTTCCTTCTTCCTCCCTCTCTCCTGGGTTAATTTGAACAAATTTTAAGATATTATACTACTTCAGCCTCAACTTAAGTGTGTATGTATAAAAGGTAAGGTCTTTAAAAATATAACTATAGTATTGTTATCTTGCCTAAAAAAACAGTAACTTCTCCAAATGATCAGCTAGTCAATATTTAAAGTCCCCTTTCCACCATGTTGTTTCCTAGTACCATTTGTTTATTTTGATAATGATCCAAACTGGGTTTTGTAGTTGGTTGACACATTGAGTCTTTATGTCTGTATCTCTATGACCTTTTGTAATCTATAGGTAGCCCTTCCATATCTTTTTTCCCCTTGCAGTTTATTTATTGAAGAAACTGGGTTATTTGTTCCTATATCATTTCACAGTTAGTTGATGTTGTTTAAAATGTTCTTATGACTCCTGCATTTCCAGAAATCAGGAGTTGGAAGTAGAGGTTGGTCAGATTCAAGAGGTACTGAGTTCTTCAGGAAGCACATAATGTTTGATTATTTCTGTTCGGGGAAATGTTAGCAAATGTTGATGATTATTTCATTTTGACCTTTTATTTCCTTAGGGATTGCAAAATGGACATTATTCTTATTCTACTCCTCTTTTGTCACTGATTAGCTTGAATATTTCTATAAAAAGAAAAGTTCTCTCTTCAACTATTTGTCTTGAGATAGATCTAGTACTAGAAAAGCAGGGCAAATACTTAACTCTTTCTTTAAACAACTTGTAAGTTGTTTAAAGAATGAGATGTGTTCCTACTGGCACCAGAGGTGACCAATGAGTCATTTTTGTATTATGATGTTCTAAGTATATCTGATGTGTCTCCGTGCATTTATAGACTTTACTCTTCTTGAGGCTCACATTAGCACATCTTTGACTCCTGAGTCCTTGTGCCATGACCTCAGTCTTTGATGATTTCTTTATTTTCTGGAATGACAGCATGTTTCAGATTCATCTTTGTATTTCCTGCCCCAGATCTGGAATCAGCCATTTCTCCAAGGAATACTACTTCCTTTTTTTTTTTTTAAATGTCTTTTTTTTTTAAAGATTTATTTATTTATTTATTTGTACAGAACTAGTGTACAAGCTAGAGGTGCAGGGGTGGTGAGAGGATTCACCAGAGACAGAGGGAGGGAGCAGAACAACAGATCAGCGAAGCATACTCCTGAGGGGAGCAGAGGGTGGGTCAGGAGAGGTCTGGCACTCCACGTGGTCACCTCCGGATCGAACTCCTGCTGAAGCGGCTTTAGCTTCTTAGTGCTGTGCTTGAGCCCGCTGCACCACCAGGGAGGGCCTGGAATACTACTTCCTTTTAGTGAGAAATAGAATTTACAAACCAATAGTCTAAATACCAAGGGTGTTCATAGCTAGCTGAGCATTTATTTGTTTTGAAAGTAATTAGTTTTGGAATTATATTTTAAATGGATTTAAATAACTCAATTGAATTAAAGCTATAGTTGCTATAATATGAGGAGTTATAGCCTACATTAAAAACCTAATAAAAGTGGATTTCTCTCATTCCATGTCCCTTTGTTCAGACACAACTTTGCCTAAAATTCTGGGAGTTCACAAACCTACTGTGCAAACTTTGCTTTGGCTCCAGAGGGATGTGATTGACATAGATGGTCAAATGAGGTCCATAATGACAGAGGCAGACCTGGGAGGAAGCGGAATAACCAAATGACCTCACATAGAAGCAGTGGATGGGAATGGTGAGTCCTGCAATGTCAGACAGAGGAGAACAGAGGGTCAGAGGGTAGGGGTGGTTTTAGCACAGATTTTACACAAGAGATATAGTTTCATCAAAGAAAGACCATGATGACAAAGATTTGTTTGGTGGTGAAGGGTCACTAGGTAAAACAAAGTTCATTTGAGTGTTGGAAAGAACTTCTGTTTTTAAAAATATTCCTTTTCTAATATTTTGGAAAGAACTTTCCAATAATCAGGACTTCAGTGACATACCTACCCAATGATGTTCACTTCACAGGCCCACATTTTGAAATTCCTCATACCTAATTGCAGCTCCACCTTTTTTTCACCCACTCAGGTATTTATTTCTTATACTGAATTGCTTGACATGGATAACAATGAATACATTTTCCCCTCTTTTAAGACATTCTCAAATATGTAGTCACTATGCTATAATAGAAAGAGCCTGAGCTTTCAGAAAGACCTAGATTCACAAGTTACTGCTGAGTAACTATTGACTGTGTCTCTCTTTCTTCATCTATCAAAATCACACCTGCCTCACTTCAAAGCTCTCAGGCTGTATGATGCCTAGTATAAGCAGCTGCTCACCAAAAGTTATCCCCTGCAGTGCCTCAAGCTTTGAGAATCTGAGATGAGACTCAGGCTCTCTGTGATAATTCAGGCCCAATTTACCATTTTTTCAAGGTGTGACGCTAATTTAAAAAAATAAGCTTAATATTGGGGAATTTATAGACTTACATGCAATTGTATGAAATAATGCAGAAATTTCATATAGTCCATTTCTTTCAGTGATAACATCCGGCATAACCATAATACAACATCACAACCAGAAAATCTACTTTGATATAATCTATTGACCTCATTCAGATTTCACTAGTTTTACATGCACATACACACTGTCCCTGTGTGTGTTTAGTTTGTGCAACTTTATTACATGTGTGGATTTGGTAAAGTTCACTTTAAAAATCACGGTGTCTTTTTTCCCCTGTTGGATTCTGAATGTTTCCACTGAAGAATGTGGCTCTAGAAACTTGGAATTTCAGACTGTCTATTTTTGCTGTGCCATTAGAACAGTTTTCTCTTCCCTGTCTTTTCCTTCTCCTTCCTCCTTAGTCTATGAATTGAGTTTGGCTCTCTGACCATGTAATTTAGGCAAAGTATATAGAAAAGGTATAAATCAGATTTTTAAAAATACCTAAAATACAAACTATTGTAATTAATTATTATGGTTAGAATTTTGATGAGCAACCTTCCCACATATATTTTATTATACACTCTATACTGTATCATGTTTTTTCCAGTGTTACATGATATTATCCTTTCATGTTTTTAAATTAATGATTTTCTTATTATTACTTACTTTTTTTCTCCTTTTTTTGCACAGAAGAACTGGAGTATAGGCCAGAGGTGCTAAGGGGAAGGTGGTTGGGCAAGACAGGAGAGGTCTGATGCACCACATATGGGTTAGCTCCCTGGGGGGGATCGAACCCAGGCTATAGCAGTGACAGCAATGAAACTCAACTCATAGGCCACCAGGGAGGCATTATCCTTTCATGTTAATACAGTTATTTTAAACAAGCTTTAATAATAACTTGATAAATATTTTAATTGTTATATAGTCATCCAGGCTATGAATAAACCATAATTTGTTGATACCCTACCTGGTACCCTTCAATGAACATTCTCATACGTGTAAATTTGTTTCCAGTTATTTCCTAAGAATAAAATGTTAGCAGTGGAATTTTGGGGCTTGATGTATGTAGGTACCTTTTGTCATGCTGCCTCACTACAGCCACTTGGGAAACTGCCCTTTTACCAATGTTTATCAACAGTAGATATTCTTAAGTTTCTAAGCCTTTGAAATGTAAGAAGTAAAAGAAGATATAATTTTTACTATTTGTTTTATTTTCAAATAGCTGCATTGTTTTCACTGATTTTAAAGGTATTACATGTGTTCATACATTGAAATAAAATAGAAAGTATAGAATGAAAAATCACCCCATAATTCTCCCCCCATATATAATCAGTGTTTGGGGAATATATAGAATCGTTTAATTTCATAAGTGGATTATATTTTACCAATCTGTACCTACTGTTCACTACTAAATAGATTCTGGATTTTTTTCTATATTAGCACACATAGCTATACCCATTCTTTTAGCCAGTTGTATAGGAATCCATTATTTTGATTAAACACACATTTAGAGTTTCTACTTTCTTTCTATGATTTTAACCATATAAATATAAATTTTTATCTCCTTGTCCATTTATTTTCTTATTTTTAAGTTTTGGGGAGTTGTTGGATCAAAGGATTTGCATTTCTTAAAGGATATGATATATATCAGCAAGGCAATTCTGTTTTCATTCTGATCAAGGATAGTAACACTTATTTTCCACATCTGTGGTAATACGGATAATAATTTCTAAGTGTTTACCAACAAGATAGGTAAGGTAGATATTCTTTTGTGACTTGCCTGTTAATATTCGTTACCTACTTTTCTATTAGACTATTCACTTTTATTGACTCAATAAGGTAATGTTAAAAATACCAAACCTCTATAGTTTAAAATTTCATGTACCAAAGATTTTACCTTTTTTCTTCTCACTCTAGAACAGAGTTTTTAATCTCTCCATTTATTCAAGTAGTCTTTATTTCATTTTTAAAATGTCTGTGTTTTTCTTGTCATAGAGTTTCTGCCTTTTAAAATTTCACTCTTGGATATTTTTATTTGTTGTTGCCACATGAATAGAATGCTTATCCCAAAAATATTTTCTACCTATTTATTGCAAGTATACAGAGGAACTATTGATTTTTTTACGGTCATTCCAAAGCCACTATAATAATTACTAATTCTATTAGCGTTCATTATGTATCTTTCCCCATCACAGGTCTGCCCAACCCAGTGCCCAAATAAATATCTGGGCTGCTTTCTTCTGGTTTGCAACTGGCCATGTGTGCTCCTGTGGTTTATCTCACCATATTTCAAATAATAGTCATTTCATTTTTAGTGCCTCAAACTTTTATTTTTCTCTCCTTTGAGCAATGTCTAGAACTTTCAGTACAATGGTGAAACAATGGTGGGGGAGCAGGCATTACTAGGGGGTTCTCAGCAGTTAGCCAACGTGGGAAAAGTTCCAGCACCCAGCCTGATCCTTGAGACTAGGTTATCGCTCAGGAATCTGAACTTTTAGTCGGAGCACAGCCTGGGTAGCCGAGGTGGCTTCACTAGGACCCTGCTTACAGTGTCTCAAATCGTGCCAGAGGCGGGTAGGTTGGGGGGTGGTGCTTTTCCGGGAAGCCAGGAGATGCGGTAGCAACAGCTGCGCTTCCAACAGGCCCCCAGTCTATGCAGGCTTTTGCTCCTACTCCGAAAGGCCCATCAGCTCCACCAAAGGATCCGCCCGGGGGGTCAGCAGCCTCTCTGGATCTCCGGCGGGCGGCGCAGTCTCCGGGAGCTGGGGAGCCGCGACTGAGTGCCGTGCTGGAATTCTGGGTGTGGTTGCCTCCCCACGCCAGTGACCCTGCCTAGCTCTCCCAAAGGCAGACGCAGAAAATGGACTTGTGATTCGCTGGCTGCGGCAGCACAGCACTAGAGGTGTGGAGCGTCAGGTGAGGATGACAGAGCAAGGGGCAACCAGGCTGTGAGGGTGCAGCTCGTCCTCCCTCCGGAAACCGCGAGAGGAACGTCGGATCCCGCGTCTTCTCCGCCTGTATCTCTGAGGTCTTTTCACTGCGTGGAAGGGGCGGGAAGCAGGTCCGAGAGCTGCCCGGGGATTTGGATGTTTAGGAGCACGCTCACTGGGGTTCAGACGCCCCGCCGTTCTTCACTGCCCATCCCAGGGTACAGTCACCAGCCAGGTTGGGAAGGAAGAGGAGCCAGCCTTCAGCACGGGAGTCAGCTTTCGTGCCCCCTCTACCTTCTGGGGGTAGTTAGCCATCCTCTCTCCTTGTTGCCTTTTGGTCTTCCTCCTCTTGGCCTCTCGGCATATTTCGCTGCTTTCCCATGTCTCCTTTTTGAAACTGCTATTTGACTTCCAGGACCACTTGTTACCTAGTTTCCTGGCTACCTTTTGGGTCACGCTCCTCTAACCTCTTTGGGGGGGGACTCTCCTTCCTCCTCCACATCTTTAAATGCTGTGATTCTCCAGGTCCCAGGCTTTTCCTTTTCTTCCTCCTCCTCCTTCCCTAAACTCTTCCTTCTCCAGATTTAATTTTTATACCATAAAGCTCATTCTTTTAAAGTGTACAATTCAGCGACGTTTAGTATATTCACAAAATTGTACAACCTCCATCACTGTCTTAACTCCAAAACAGTTTCATCATCCCAAAAGGGAGCTATAAGGTATTAGTCATTTCACATTGTCCTCCCTGCCTCCCAGTTTCTGGCAACTACTAATTTACTTTCTGTGTCTATGGATTTCCCAAATTTGGACGTTTTCCATCCATGGAATTCTAAATTATGTGGTCTTTTGTCACACTTCTTTCACTTAACATGTTTTAAAAGTTTATTTGTATTGTGGAGTGTATAATCACTTCATTCCTTTTTATGGCTGAATTATATTCCATTGAATGGATATACCATAATTTGTTTATCCATTGGTCAGTTGATGGGTATTTGGATTGTTTCCATGTTTAAGCTATTATGATTATAATAATTATTAATTATTTGCTGCGAGCATTCTCACAAGATTTTGTGTAGATATGTTTTGTCTCTTGTGAACCTACCTAGAAGCCAGACATATAGTAAATGGTCACCAAATAAGTTTGGTTATATATTAACTTTTTGTTTAATCAATCTTGATGAGCCACCAAACTGTTTTCCATAGCCGTTACACCATTTTACATTCCCACCAGCAATATGTGAGGGTCGATTTGTCCATATCCTCTTCAACACCTGTTAATGATTATAGGTGTGTGGTAGCTCATTGTGCTTTTGATTTGCGATTTCTTGATGCAGTCTCCAGTGATCTGGAGAATCTTTTCATGTACTCGGTCATTTGCTGTCTTCTTTGGAAAAAAGTGGTTTTCAAACATTTGCCCATTTGTAATTGTATTTTCTTTTTTTTTTTTTTTAAGATTTCTTTATTTATGAATACAGAACTGGGGTACAGGCCAGAGGTGCAGGGGTGGTGAGAGGATTCACTAGAGACAGAGTGGGGAGCAGAACAAGCAGACTGAGGAAGTACACTACTGAGGGGAGCAGCAGGCGGGTCTGGAGAGGTCTGCTGTGCCATGTGGATCATCTAGGGGCGGAGATCGAACTCATGCCCAAGTGGCTTTAGCTTCTTAGTGCTATGTTTTAACCCGCTGCTCCACCAGGGAGGGCCCTGTATTTTTATTTCTCAACTTTGAGTTCTTTTTAAATTATGTGTTAAAAAAATCATATACCATAAAACTAACCATCTTAATAATTTCTAAGTTCAGTTATATAGTTCAGTATAAGTGTATTCATATCATTGTGCAAATAAGCTGCAGGACTTTTTCATCTTGCAAAACTGCAACTCTATACCCATTAAATAGCTCTCCATTTCCTTCTCTCTCCAGCACCTGGTAACCACCTGTCTATTTTCTGTTTCTATAAATTTTACTTTAGATACTTCATGTAAGTGGAGTCACACAGTATTTTTCTTTCTGTGACTGGCTATTTGACTTAGTGTATCTGCAAAGTTGTAGAGCTCTTTGTGTTCTGAATGTTAGTCATTTACAAGATACATGATTTGCAAGTATTTTCTCTTATCTATGATTGTCTTTTTACTTTCATAATGATACTTTTGGCAACACAATATTTCCAATTTTAAATAGGTTATGTGATTTCTTTTTGTTGTTTCTTGTGCTTTTTTGTGTCATATCAGAAGGCCACCATCTAATTGAAGATCATTGCCTAACTGAAGAGTTTTCTTTTATGAATTTTGTAGTTTTAGTTCTGACTTTTTTTGTTGTTAATTTTTGTATATGGCCTGAGATAGTTGAACTTAATTCTTTTACATGTGGATATACAGTTGTCCCAACACCATTTGTTGAAAAGACTACTTTAGAATTGAATTGGCCTTGGTACTCTTCTTGATAGCTGCTCTTCCTTATGTACCTACTTGCCCTGGAGATCTTCCTAGTTTCTGTTCCCATCCATGTACCAATAACACAGAAACTTATCCCTCCAGTGTGGGACTTTCTTCTGAACCCCCTTACTCATATATAGCTTGACACCTCCTCATACATGTACAAGACTGAATTCATGATTGTTTTCTCCAAATATTCTCTTTTTCCAATACATTTACCTCTGTTTTGCCTTAGCAAGACAGAGCATTATCCTACATGCTCAAACCAGAAACCTATAGCTGTGGCTAGCTTGCAGTGTTGCATCTTAGCCTATAGTCATATTTAACACAAAGTCCTTTATGCCTCCACATTCAGTTGATTGTCAAGTTGACTCTATTTGTAAATAATATTTCTTGAATCCATCCCTGGCCCTCCATCTCCAGTGCCACCAAGTTTGACAAATCATTTCTGCCAGAATACAATCTCCTAATCTGTCTCCATGGGGAAAATGTTTTTTTTTAAGATTTACTTATTTATGCATACAGAACTGGGGTATAAGCCAGAGGTACAGGGCAGAGGGGGGAGCAAGATAGGCAGATCTATAAAGTGCACTGTTGAGGGGAGCAGTGGGCAAGACAGGAGAGGTCTGCTGCACCTTGGGGGTCACCTCCCTGATCAGGGATTGAACTCTTGCCGAAGCAGTTTTGGCTAGCTTCGCAGTGCTTTACCTTAACTTGTTGTCCCACCAGGGACATATGAAAACATATAAAAGACAAGAGAATTGTTGGGTAGGCTTGTCTTCTAGCTACAAGAACCATCAACATAAGATTGTCCCTATTTTATCAATAATCAAACTCCACTCTGTCCCCCACCCCATCCTACCCCACCTCCTTTGGGTTACTTTGAAGCAAGCCTACGTATCAGAGCGATTTCTTTAACATACAACCTATACAGTGCATTTCCCTATTTTAATCCCTTCATTGATTCCCCATTGATTTTAGGGTTATGATCAAACCCACAGGACTCACAGGCTTCTGCATGATCTGGTCTGTCACCTTCTGCAGACTCGTTGCTCCTGACTTTACTGCTCACCTCTACTGGCCAGACACAAAGGCGCCATTTATGTTCCTCATAAATGCTGCACATCTCTGGCTTCAGGACCTTTGCGCATCATATTCCCCTCCCAGCCCTCCGACTCCCTTACCCTCACCCCCACATGCCACATGACTAGCATTGTGGCTATCATCTCAAATGCTTCTGCTTCTCCAAGGAAGTTTTCCTAGCTTTGTACAGTTGAGATGTCCTCCCAGGACACAGCTTTTCCTTCATAGCATTTATTGCACAGTTATAATTATGTATTGACTTATATAAATATTTGTCTTATGTCTGCTGCTCCCACCAGGCGTTTTGGGGATAGTAGCTTGTTAGTATACACCTCTCTTAGTATACACAACCCTCTCACAGAGTGGAGCGAACAGCAGGCATTCAGAGGATATTTGTGGAAGGGAGGCAGGGAGGTTGCCGGTGGCCCTTTGAAGACGGTGCTCCTGCCGGCCTCTGCTGGGGTGGGAGTTTTTCTGACCACAGATGTCCACGTTCCTGACTATACTTGGTTCTTTCTCTTAGACAACATTTGCTTTCCCTACAGCACTGAGACTTTCTTGCCAGTTTTCAGGGCAGTAATTGAGGCCTGGAAAGAGAGTATTTCCCCAAGGCCTTTTAGCAGTGAGGAACTTACAGTTCAGCTTCCCTGTCTTCTTGACTCATGACCTGGAGCCTGAGATCTTTCAGACCTGCCTGTGCCCTGAGAAGACCCGAGTGGGTGCAGAAAACCAGATTCTGAGAGGGTGTTGCAGGGTGCCTGGGTTAGGGCGCACTGAACACTGTCTGTGGATGGACAGAGCTGACTTGTCCTAAGAGTAGCCACACCTCCTGGTAGCTGTGAGTGGCCTGAGCGGCTACGGTTGTCTGTGGGCCTTCCCCTCAGTCGGCCCATCGGAGGTGGCCACGAAGAGCACAGGGGTGCACTGTTTCTTAATGAATACAAGTCTGTTTTTAGACCTGAATGACCAGCTTTTTGTCTGGAAACAGCCAGGCCCCAAGTGGCCTGCCAAGAAAAAGTGGTCTGTGACCAGGTTCTGGGGGTGCCAGCTCAAACAAATGCTGCAACAGCAGTGGGCACTATGGGATGAGGCCAGCGACAGGCGGGTCACTCAGCAGAACCAACCGTTGCCTGCTCCCTGTTACGGCCTGGGCTTTGCAGGAAATCCTGGATCTCCCCAGGAACAAAGCTTCCCGGTTTCAGCTGTTTGTCCTGCCTGTCTCCCTGGTGACCATTCTCACTCTGTAGGCCTTTGAGTTCTGGCCAGGAAGGGGGCAGCAGTTACTGGCCTCAGACCTCTGGTGGAGGGAGGAGAAGAGAGGGCGTGAGCCTGAGCAAGACTGGGCCTGTGCTGTGGGTTGCCTTAGGGCCTGAGAGGGGTGGGAGGGAGCAACTGGGTGTGGTCCAGGTGTTTGCCCCTTCCCAGTTGCTTTCCCTGGCTGTCATCCCAGGGGAGGAGTCAATCATGAGG